AAATCCTCAGGGACTTAATTAGTATTTTTTTAGGTGAGAGTTCAGTTGATGAGGCCAGCTCACTCTAGCTACCTTCTCCTTTGCCAATCACAGGAGTGCCAGCTCATATTCACAAGGTTGGTTCTACACCAAAGACAATAGAACACCTGCAGATTTTATCCACAATTTAATTTCCAAGAGTTAAAATGTTGAAGATAGACATATAGGAAAAGCAGGAGGATCACAGTTCAGGTACTCATTATAGTCAAATAATTTTCCATACTGGTGGTGTTTTCCTTTCTTTCAACATTTCCATTAATTGTGTGAGTGGAGAAGCACTTTGCTTGGACAAAAGATTCCATAGGCTGCTTAGTTGGAAAGATTTGTGAACTGAAGTTTATTTTTAATTATATGACCTTTCAAGGTCTGAAATAATCATGAAGAATATCATAACTTATTTGACCAAGAAACTTATTTTCATGCCTGAGTGTTGGCTGACATTCATTGACATTCACCACATGGTTGTTTACTGCCAGAATGTCTTCTGATTAGTGGGTGCCTGACATTCATCTACATATTTTTATATCATTCTTGTTCTGAGGTTGTCAATGTCAATAATGGCTTCATATTAGAATCACTTAGATAACTTAAATGACTAATACCTGGGTCACTGGGTCTCATAAGCAGAGAGTGGGATATAGCTTTGTTCTCTATGCTATGAGGTAGATGTTTCTAGGAATGACTTGGGAATAATCACCATACATGTACTTGAATGGGATATTCTATAAGCTATGGAATATGTCAAATGGCATTTTATTTCAATTTTGTTATAATTCTATGATCACAAGTATCAGACTTCCTGTACAAAAGAGAATATTGAAGATTCAGGAGTCAAGTGGCTTGCCCAATGTCTCAGGCAGAATGTGAAACTAATATCAGATTCACAACTTAAGGTAACTTCTTTTCTTTTTTCCCTTTTATTTACATATTTTTTCATTAAGAATTTTTTTATTCATTTTACATACCAATCACAGATTCCCCTCTCTCCCCTCTTCCCACTCCCAGCCTTCCTCCCCCAACCAAACCCCCATCCTCTCATCCAAAAAGGTAAAGCCTCCCATGGGGAGTCAGCAGAGACTGGTACATTCAGTCGAGGCAGGTCCAAGTCCCTGCACCAAGATTGTGTAAGGTGTCCCACCATAGTTAATGGGCTCCAAAAAGCCAGCTCATGCACCAGGGATGGATCCTGATCCTACTGCCAGGGAGCCGCTTGAGCAGATCAAGCTACACATCTGTCTTGGTTATGCAGAGGGCCTAGTCTAGTCCCATGGAGGCTACACAGTGGTTGGTCTAAAGTTCATGGGTTCCCACTGGCTTGAAGATAACCTCTTTTCTTTCTGGGCCTGTGGTTACATGATGGGACTGTCTAGAACTGTGGCAATCTTGCTTGTCGAAGTAGGAATTCCAAGTCTTGTGAACTGAGAACACTGAGCTAACAATGGATAAAGAGATTAGGTAGAAAATGGGCCAGGAGCTGAACTTAACAATGTTAAGTTCCCAACTGGATAAAGCAAGCTTTCCATAAGCACCATATTGCATAAACAAACAATGTCTAGACAAATACATCAGAGCCTGCTAAAGAAATCGGCTATTCTACCACACATGAAAAGGGTGCCTTTTAATTTCTGTCCATTTTGGTTAATTTCCATCATTGGGTATACCAATGGGAATCTGAGTTTTAAATGTTAGGAGCCAAGACCCAATAACACAGAGGATGTTCAGGCTTATTGAACCTTAACATGTCTTTTAAAAGACTTAGCAACCACACAAATACTAGCTCCAAAGCTGAGTCATAAGATTAATACTTTAAGTTTGGAAAATACTTTTTCTCAGATATCTCTTAGTATTGCAGACATCTGTTCAAGACCTATGTCTAAATCATGGGGTTTCTGAGGCCTTCTGATATCTAGGTGTATTGGGACCACAAGGAGAATTGGATGAAAACAGGATCACAGTGCACTAAGTTTTAAAAAAGGATACCTGGACTTCATTCTCAGATTACGATAATTCACCACATTCCCTTTAGCAAATATATCGGGCAAAATCACAATTATCCTGTAGTTTGCAGTAATGTGATGAACACGATAGACTGACGTGAATCTAAGTTCTCTTGAATAAAGAGTTGTTTTTCACTGAATTCGGATAAATAAATGTGTTATCGAACAGCAGGCCTGAGGCAAAAACAATGTAAATTAAGTACAGTCTCCGGAATAAGTGTGTGATTTCTATTTTAACCAGAGGAGTACAATGTACGTTGGAGAGGTAGTGTGATGATGTAAAAACCTCAACTGCCATTCCATCTATTACTATTATTATTAAATCAATAAGTGCTTTGAACCTTGGGAAAAACACAAGTTGCATCAATCAACCAGCCACAGTAACATCAAAATTTCCTGAAAGTAGTAAAGATAAACTTTAAAAAAAAATCAATGCATATGAAAAGTTCTCTCAAAAATATAGAGGTCTTTGTGGATATTGTTAGCTGATACTATTTTTGTCTTTTGATTCAATGGGAAGAGAGCCAGGTCGTCTTCATGGAGAATGTGAGAATGTAGAAGGAGTAACATGCCTCTGGTTATTGCATATTCTATTTTACTGAAAGTCAAATGGAAGTAGGTGTTCTGCATTCTTGATCAAATCTTCCAGCATGACGGAGAGGCGGGGTGGATGCATTGGGGGATTTTCTGATCTTAATCTTCCTCCTTCCTCTTTCATACTTCATATTACAGCATCATCAGGTCAGTTACGATTTTGGCAGTCCACATTGCTGACTCACAGTTGGCTTGCACTTAAGGAGAACTCCATAGATCACAGGGCCAATGAGGCAGCACAAATGTACTTCCTTCTGCCGGAGAGAAGGAGGAACTGGAAATGCCCTTGGAAAGTGGCTTCCGTGGCTACCGCGATCACCTAAACAATCCACATTCCAGAAGAATGACTTGTAATTGAATGTCATTTCCATTTGCACCTGGGAAAGTCCCTGTGAAGGAATCTGGCATATCTGACATGAACTCGGGGTAAACTAGCTGTTATCCTAACTGAATTATTTACAAGCAGGTGCTGCTCTCTGAAGCTTATATCATTCTACGCTTGTTTCTCTTCTCTGAACTTAATGTTTCTGTTCAGTTCTGCTTGTTTTTATTCTCAAGTGGAAATAGTATGTCTTATATTTTGAGGAGACAACTAGAAACAACGATAGTTCCATACCCACATACTGGGGTAGAGGAGCTGTAGGCCCAGGCAGCCAGCTACCTAAAAGAGTACTGGCTGATGGCTAGATTTTGAAGTTCCCTGTGGATGATGAAGATACCATTTTCACTTAGATTGGTTGGTACTCTAAAATAAAAATGAAGTTTCCAAAAACGCTTTCATGCATGCACGTGTGTGAACATGATCACTACTCTCATGAATACTTTTTTTTTAAAATACAGTTCAGTGCAGCATTGAGTGAGATCCCAGCAGAGCAGAATAAGCAACGAGCCCCACATTTTTCACAAAGCTGATCCTCAGTGTTCCCATGACAAAGACTTGACTAAGTACTGCAAGATGATAAGCAGCTCTTGATAACCCAGAGCCTTCTGAACACCCTTGCTGTTCTCATGTGTACCATTTCTCCAAATGTCTGCTGCAAATACCTCCAGGGAAGGTCTAAGCAAGTGGCCATGACTTGAAATCAACTTCATTTAAGTCTGCCACAGAGATGGCTTGTTTCATGACTCTGGGAAATTTCTGGAGATACCACGTGCTAAGGAAACATACACTTATTACATCCATTATCAAGGCACTCAGAATTAAATGTTCCATGCCAGCCGTGTGGCACAGCAGGAAAAATTTATCTAAGAAACATATGTCTGTACCCTCTCTTTTGAGGTGACCTGTTGATGGTCACCTTGACCGTGAGACCATTGAAGGACTGAGAAACTGAGTCTGTGAAATGAATCACATCAAAACCTGGGTTGGCCAAGATCATCGTTCAAGCCACAGGCTTTTGTAGTTTTCATTTTACATCACTAAGGATTTCAGAGGCAGAGCCGCATGGTGGAAAGGATACTGGAAAATCTTGCTCACACTGTTTTTCCTGGAGATGCACAGTACTATCATCTCTATCTTGTTATAGACATAGATGTATACATTTCAGGTGGTAACACAGAGACCTGACTCCTTTTCAGTCATCTCAGAAGGAAGCAGGAAAAGAAGTCTCAATTTATGATTCCTTTCAGAATGCTGTTCATGCAGTAGCATGCAAGCACACACATACACACATGCACATGTGTGTGCACACACACACAGCACAAACACACACCCCTGTCTAAAAACAGAGTCTAATCAGCAAAGGAAAGTTTGAAAATGGAAACAAGTCTCCAGAGTCCCCCATTACTGTTTTTTTTCTAACTTTGTTCCTTTTATACTTCATTAAAAATAGGAACATTTAGGTGTAACAATAATAGCAGAGTTTTATCACTGGAAAAAGTAGGAATCACAATTAGTCAGACTAAAGAATGGTAGTCATGCTGATTCAGTACACTTTCAATCCAGTGCATTCTTGAGCAGTCTTTCTCCTGAAGGCTCTAAGAGACTGTATAAGAGTAAGGAAACTTTTTGTCAGAATGCCACTTTGAAGGGGTTTGAAAGCTTCTCAACTTAAAGCCTTTTCCCTGGAAGTCAAGGCTGCATATACAGAAATAATCACACATAACTCTGAAGTACAAGGCCAAATACGCATGAAGGAAGCAGGTGAGATATCACAGCACTTAGAAGCCGGTGAAAGTGTTTCATTTTGATACCTTTAAATCAGAAGAAAAATTATTATCATATATATATATATATATATATATATATATATGTATGTATGTATAAAGCATCCACATTATATATCTACTGAGATATTCCCTATTCTTTGTTAAATGCCCAGCAAATTTTATAAGATATTATGAAGTGATAAAGCATGTAACAAGCCCTGTAAGAAACACAAGCTTCTACTATCTGGTTTAAGGTGGGAAATCCCATGACTTGTTTTATTTGTCAGTCATTTTTAAATTACCTGTAAAGTATGAATTTTCCTTCTACTTACAGAAAATTTTCAGGGAATATCAACAACCATTTTTCTGTGAAATTCAGGTTAAGAAGATAAAAAGAGTAGAAAAAGGTAGGGCGTATCCTTCTTTTTGCAATCATAGTCATTTATTTTGTATTTTTGGTCAGTTGTTTAAAGGACTGTGTGTGTGTGTATGTGTGTGTGTGTGTGTGTGTGTGTGTGTGTGTGCTACATGCACGGATATGCACATCTGTTTTTTTTTTTCCTCAGCTCCTCAAATATTATCTAAATTCTTCTCTTTACTAATGCAGCAAATGAGACACTAAAGGCTTAAATGTCTTTCCAAGTTCCAGGCTAGCAAAGGGGTATCATCCTGGTAAGTTAATGTCACCCCTGCTTTTCTTGGTTTCCTGGGAGATACACCCCACACATAGTTATGGGAACCGAGGCCAGGCATAGCATAGTAAGCCTGTTCGTGGTAGCTACTGAGGCAAGGGACTATAAACAATGTTGTGCAGTAATGCAAATGTCTTCTGCCCCAGTTTAAAGGTTAGAGTCTGAAGTCAATATTCCTGGTTGAAGTACAGATGTTAGAAGGACCACACTTCTCCCCAGTGCTCTGGGGGACGACCCCATCCTCACATCTTCCAGCATCTGCTAGCTGCTAGTATTCTTTGACTGTAGTCACAGCCCTTCAGACTTGAAGTCCAGCATCTCCAGCTCTCTGTTGTTCTCATATTGTCTTCTCTGCATATGTGAACTATCCCTCCATGTCCTGCATTAGACATTTCCTCACTGCTACAAATCCCTGAGGACAGGAGAGAGAGAGAGAGAGAGAGAGAGAGAGAGAGAGAGAGAGAGAGAGAGAGAGAGAGAGAGAGATTGATTTACTTTGGTGCAAGCATTCAGAGGTTTCAGTCCTGGGTAGGCTGATTCCACTGATAGCATTCTGTGATGAGGTGTTCAGAACACCATGGCACTGAGAACATTTAGCAGACTGAAGTTTGCTATCTCCAAGTGTCCAGACAGCAGGAAGAAATAAACAGGAGGCCGAGCAGTGGTGGCACACATCTTTAATCTCAGCACTCGGGGGGCAGAGGCAGGCAGATCTCTGTGAGTTCCAGGCCAGCCTGGGCTATAGAGTGAGTTCCAGGAAAGGCGCAAAGCTACACAGAGAAACCCTGTCTTGAAAAAAAAGAAAGAAAGAAAGAAAGAAAGAAAGAAAGAAAGAAAGAAAGAAAGAAAGAATGAATGAAAGAATGAAAGAAAGAGAAGAAAGTAAAGAAATAAACAGGAAAGGGCTGGGAAAGAGATGGTATTCTCAGAGTGATCTGCTTCCTCCAACTGGGCCCCATCTCCTAGTTCCCACCATCTTTCAATGAAGTCATCAAATTGCCATGAAGTCGAGGGCTCCTGATGATCACTTTACCAAAGCCACATCAGTAAGGAACCACAAGACTTCAGGGGACCTCCAGATTTAACCAACTGTTATAGAAGATAGGACTGATCACATTTATGACCTATCTGAATAATTTAGTGAAAAATCTCCCATCCCAATTTCCTTAATTGCATGTACCAGGAGTCTTATTTTATCACAAAAGCTGCCATTCTTGGTTTTAGGTATTAGACCATGGATATTTTTAGAAGAGAAATAATTTTGTTTTCAGCTAAGGACAGTGCAAGTCAGAGCTCTTTGAAGCTGTATGGACAGAAAGAGAGGAACGCTGATAGAAACAATGAGGGTAGACAGGAATGTTTTTGGAACTTGAAAGAGCCCTTCAGTTATTTAAATAGACAAATTCTAAAGGCAATTAGAAGCAGTGGGAGATACGTGGCCTGTGAGTGGGGAAAACTGGTAAGGCTGTGTCACAACCCTGGCAGAAGCCCTGGAACAGGTTCCCTTTCCTGTTCACAATGTTGTGTGTGGTGTATATGGTGTTCATGGTGTATGTGCTGTGTGCAGTGCATGGTGCGTGTGCTCTGTGCTCTGTGTGGTGTGTGTGCCCTGTGTGCTGTGTGCCCTGTGTGGTGTGTGTGGCCTGTGTGGTGTGTGTGCAGTGTGTGCTGTGTGTGCTATGTTGTGTGTGTTGTGTGTGCTGTGCTTTGTGTGCTATGTTGTGTGTGCTGTGCTGGGTTGCGTGTGCCTACTTGCATTTCCTTTTGTCCAGGGGAGTGAGTATTATTACAGCCATAGGTGTAATGACCAACTTTTCAACTTTTCACTCATGTAGTCCTAACTTCCAGCCCCTATTGTTCTCAGGGCTAGCTAATGCTCCCTTCGTGTTTTCATTTGCTCTGGTGCAGCACTCACCCTTCCCTCCCCTCCCTTGTAAGATCCGACTCTGACTATTTTTTTATTACCTAGTTTTCCTGCCTCATTATATGCTTTAATTTTTCAAGATGGGTTAATGTTGCTTCATTTTTACTGTAGAGTTGACCTTCTGTCCCTTGTGTCAAAGGCTCAATATGTTTCTCACTCCTCATTGTTCTGTCAAAGCATTGAGACCTACCACCACACAAGCTTCTGTTTTCTGAGGTGTGTGGTCCCTGGCCAAAGCCTTGGCATTCCTTCCTTCCAAAAGCCCCTTCTGCTCTGTGCCCTTCAGACTCTGCTCATCATCCTCTAGGGCATCAAGAGAGAAAGTCCACTTGTCCATACCATGCCTTACCTTGCTATATTGAGCTCATTAATATTATCTACATACTCACCATTCAATTCCCTTGAAGATTCCTTTCCAATTTCCTGTTCTTCCTTGTCCTTCTTTTTGACGGCATTTTTCCATCTATTACTCCTTTGCTGTGTGCTCATGCACACATGGATTTCAGTCTTTCAAATGCTGCACTAAAACTTCGGTCCATGCTGACATCTCTATTCAGTCAGAATATCGGGGTATGAGGTAACCGCACTCAATAGTCTGGGTTCAGAACAATAGGGGTAAGAGGTGAATAAGCTCACAGTCACCTGGATGAGATAAGCACAAAGTAACCACCATATACAGGAAGTTTTTCCACTGCCAGAGTGGAAGAGTAAGTTGTAACAATGAAAGAACAGATTTTGAAGGAGAGAAAAATCAGAAAAAAACTTAAATGCAAAGGAGAGCTTTAGTTATATAGGATTTAATTATGGAAAGAAAGGACGAAATGATATTCCAAATAGGAGAATTTTGTGGGGAAAGCTATAAAAAGCAGTGGATGGGCAGGACACAGGTGTTTGTTTTCCTGGACAGGAGAGATAGGAAGGCAGAAAGGGGTTGAGTGGAGAATGACTTCAAGTTAAGCTGAAGAGTTCATCTTACTTCATAAGACACACAGGATCACTGAGGACATTTGAGCAGAAATATGTTATTAATCAATAGGAAATTAATTTAAGAAACAGCCATGATGTGCCTGTTATGTTCAGGCACTGCCCCTAATATAAGTGGATATCATTGTGACACAATATCTAAGGTTAATGAGCTCGTGGTGTGTGTGTGTGTGTGTGTGTGTGTGTGTGTGTGTGTGTGTTATGTGTGTGTGTGTGTGTGTGTGTGTGTGTGTGTGAAAGTGACAAGGATACAGATGGTTTCCACATTAATACTCATGGTAGAGTATTAACAAAGCATAGGTTCAGTCTAAGGAAGCGAGGAGTCCTGAAGAAGCAAAGACTGTTTCACATGACTGCATTTAGGACAGCAATGTGGTAAAAATCAAAAGAGGGCTTAGAAAGGCAGAGAGAAGAAGCAGCGAGATAATCTTAGTTAAGTAGTAATGCAAGTAAGGACATATCCGGACTTGAGCTAGATACATAGCTTTTGGAAAGGTTGTGGGATACACTGAAGAGCTACGCGTCATTTGCAGCTGCTTGCATTGGCTTTAGTGGGAGAAAAGGTGGATAAGACAGATGCAGTCTATAATCTTGTGTTGGGGTTTTTCTGGTGGGTTTTTTTTTTTTTTTTTTTTTTTTTTGTGTGTGTGTGTGTGTGTGTGTGTGTGTGTGTGTGTGTGTGTGTGTGTGTGTGACCTAGGCAAGGGTAATGCCAAGAAAAACGAGAAGACCAAAGACTTGTATTCACTGCAAATTCAATTTGGATTTGAACTTGAGTTTATAGTGATGATCAATATCTAAGGAAGGCATTAAAATGTCCTACTGGGGTTAGAAAGATAAGTCAAGTTTAGAGGCAAAAATTCTTTGAGGCATTTTTAAGAAGGGTTGTTTAGGCATTCAGTAAAGATACAAACTTGGATGAAAACTAGGAGCCAGGGACAGACTACAGACATGTGTATAATGACTAACACAAAAGAGAAGTTCAGCCATAGATGACCAGGGAGGTGACAGCAGAGTCCACGGTGTCTGTTAGAAAGGAATTTTGATATGGAGGTAATTAAAGGAACCAGAGAGAGAGAGATAAAAACATAGATCACTCTCCACTGACTCTGTGCTCCCTGGTTACCTTAGAACTGACAGTTCCAGTAACTTTGAATATATATTGTATTATCGAGACCCATCTGAGAGACAAGTGGAACCAATAAGATTACTTTTAGATTTCAGTGTGAGGGGTGTGTGTTTGTGGTATGTGTGTGTGAATGTGTGCATACATTTCTTTGCATGTCTGTTGATGCACATACATGCATGTGTTACATATGGAAGCCAAAGGTTATATTATGAATCATCTTTAATCACTCTCCCTACTTATTCACTGGGGGAGGACCTTTCATTCAAGCCTGCAGCTCACTAATAAGGCTGGTCTTGCTAGCCAGCTTGCTCTGGAGATCCCTTGCCTCAGCCTCCCGTGGCTAGAATTATATAGGTGAGGCCCGTTCCTTCCCCAAATTTACTTGGGTTTTTGAGAATCCAAGCTCTGCTGCTCCAGCTTGCTTGGCAACTCTTGAGTCATCTCCTCAGCCTACTTCAGGATTTTTGTAGACGTGGATCCTGAAGATGCACGTGCAAACCTTCCCACTAGTGCGGCAAGTATCACCACCAAGTCATCTCCCCTATGTTCACGACCTTGATGAGGGAGAGACAAATGAGGAAACAGGGTTGCTCTCTTGTAGAACAATAATAATGCTGGCTATGCTAGCACATGTGTATTACAGCACTCTGAGGGATGGATGCAGGAGGATCAAAAGCTGGAGGCTAACTTAGGTTACATGGTGAGTTAGGAGCAACCTGACATACAGCAGGGGCTACATAATGAGTGAGACCTATCATATATATGTGCCAATAGGCAGACCCAAGGCTCAATTCTAAGGAAGGTTGACTTCAAAGTGTATACTGCTGCCTAATTTATTCTTGAATTCCCCATGGAATTTACCATAATGATTGATGCTTAATATGCTCAGTAATGATTTATTGAGTTCTTGAATGATGCTTTCAGACGTGAGACATCTTTTAGGTGTTAAGTTGGTTTTATATATAGGCTTATGATGTAGATCAACAGGTTATCAGTATTCTTTTGGTGTGCAGAGGAAAACTCAGTTGAATTGGTACTAACCTTTTCTTCTGGCAAACACTGGAGATCTTTCTGAATGCTGTTGATGGCTTGTAGGTAGAGTCTCAGAGTGAGGTCGGGCAGACATCATTAGACAATGCCAGCACATAGTATGAAGATGATCACAATAAGGAAGACAAAAGGAGAAAATTTTCAATTGTTAGAAAACACAGAAGTATTGAATATCTTTTTCAGATGTTTAAAATTTGTGTGTATTTATAAATTATAATTTTTGCTCATAATTTCATGAAATTAACAAATGACCATAAAATGGTTTCAATTGAATTTTTATCTCCAAAGGCCTTTAATTTCAAAAGTGAAAGGTGGTTGGTTTTCCACACAGATTAACTTATACTTTACTAATTTTCATAAACACAAGAATGCCAAGTGACTTAATTGTGGATCAAAACGTTTGGGTAATTATTTAGGGTCAAAATAGCGTATCAGTGAGATTATAAATTTCACCCCATTTAATTTTTTCCAGTTAAATGATTTCCTCCATACATTCTCTTTAAAGAAAGTGAATCCTATTATTAAAATCATTGCAATCAAATACCAGCAAACCAGAATAAAAAAACTGAGTAGGTATTTGCTGCAGTCAGCCTTTTTGAAAAACTCCTAAACTCTAAAACCACAAAACAGACCTCTGAAGAGCAATGGCAGCACCCCCTGGTGTGTCCCTGTCCCTGTGGGGTGCATCGTGACTTGGGCTTCACAGTTGGCCTTGTAGTGGGTAGCCATTCCAATAATTTCACCAATAGGCCTGACTATAGAATGGGCAGCCATGGCAGAAGGACCACAAAACACTATCTTGGCTCAGTAGCGTGAATCTACTGTTCTCAACCTTCAGTTCGTAAGGCCAGACGTCTACTGTTTATTTGTTCTTAGCTTTATTTTCTGCCTCACCAGTTAAACGATGATCTCCAGTCCATCACTCAGCTACCTATAGGTCATTCCTAAGTTATTCTTTTGAAGATTTCTGTATTTTCTATGGAGTCAGACTAGAGACTGTGACAGGGAGTGCAGGGTGCCTGCATCACTACCCAGACCCACTTCCAATTAGAAGTAAAGTCTAGATTTTTTTTTTTTTGTGTGTGTGTGTGTGTGTGTGTGTGTGTGTGTGTGTGTGTGTGTGTGTGTGTGTTTATTTGATTGCCAACTTTGTCACTAGCTAAAATCCCAACAGATAACCTGTATTTTACAATGATCCTGACTGCTAGTGTCGATATAAATAGAAGCATTGTGTGGGATTTCCAGGAAGCATCCTTAAAAGCGAGGGGCCCTTCTCTTCTTCCTTCTTCCTACTGTTTGGAATGCGGATGTGATAGCTAAAGCTCCAACGGTCATGGTGGACTCTGATCCAGCGTGGCAGAGTAATGCACCAGGAGGAACCTGGCTTCCTCCTGACCTTGGAGTTGCCAGGAGATCCTGCTTGTCCCGCCGTGTGTGTGTGTGTGTGTGTGTGTGTGTGTGTGTGTGTGTGTGTGTGTGTGTGTGTGTGTGTGCGTGCCAACCAAGGCTCATGGAAGGCTGCAGGTCTTGTATTTGTAATTCTGTGCTTTGAAAAAAAATTAATAGTTTTATATATATATGTATATATATATATATATATGTATATGTCTTTTCTTTATGTTATTAGCTCTTAAAATAAAGGACTTGTTTTTTCTACTTTGCAACTTTGAAAGCCCATACTATGAAATGGGTACATGCAAATGTCCTAATGAATACATTCATGAATAAACAAATGAATAACTAAATGTGACTCAGACATTTGCATGTTTCCTTGACTGTGAAACATGCAGCTGTCTACACATGTGCAAAATCTATAACCTTAACTGAGAGTCCTCCTTGTACTGTTGGATGTTTTATAGTAACAATCACTAATTTAACATGTATTTGCCTCAATGCAAGCAAAGATTTACAGAAAAACAGCATTAAATTCCATAGCTGCCCCTACTCACCACCTTCTCTTGTCAAAATTTCCATCTGTTTTCCTAATGCAAATGGTAAGAGTTCCCTTCTGTAACCATATCACTAGTGACCACTGGTTGCTAGTGGTTACATGATGCACATCAGGATTAGCAACGGAATATAGAAAACCCCAAGGTAATAGTGGCATAGGAATAGTGACTTTTTTTCATCTCACATTAAAGGAAAACTAAGGGATGTTGTCACATGTTAAAATTTGTTGGAAATATCGTGTTAAAAGGTCACTTCTTGAGCCTTAAGGGACTTTCTGAATCTAGCTTTTGCCAAGGTATGTGCATGTGAGCAAGCCTGAAAAAGGGAGGCAGGGCATCATGGTGGTCAGGGAAAGCACAACATCATGATGGCTAGGTGAGGCCCCAGGCAGCCAGTGCTCCTTGAATGTGATAAAGTGTGAGACCCTTGAGACTTGCTTATGGAAGAAAGACCATTGCTGCTAGTCTCTTGGAGAATTGTTATGGTCCAGACAAGAAGAAGGAAGGTGAGCTTAGGACAGACAGACAGCAGAAATCAGCATAAGGAGCCGTGGCCTGTTCTGGGTAGGATGTTCTCAAAATAAGCAGAAAGCCCCAGTGAAGGCGTAAGGCTTGAATATTCTGTAAGATGACTAAAAGCTTCAGGGGTATTTAAAGGAGATGAACAGCAGGGAGGGAAGGGGTATGAAGTCAATCTGGCCAGAAAAGAACACTTCAAAATGGTTTTATCTGAATGTTTTGAACCCTTGACACTGAGTCACTTTAAAGGAAGTGACCAGTCCCCAGGGAGTGACTGACGACACAGGATGTCGTTGCTGTGGGACTGGGGTGCCTTTCCCAGTGTCTGGAAGTCAAGAACACATTTTGTCAAAGACAGCTGTCCTGCCTGGGGCAATTCCAAAGTGGAGGTGGATTATGAGCCGGAGTGATCTCTTTTTCATGGGCACAGACCTGTGCACCCCCACACACCCCCACCTTGTGTCACCGTCACCAACATAGATAGCTACTGAGCAAGGGGATGTAATGGGACTGGCTACAGTAGCACATGACAGCATCACAGAAGAAGCAGAATCTCCTGGATTTAGAAACCAGTTTTGGATATTTGTTTTGTTTTGGTTTTGTTTTTTCTTTGCCTGTGTGTGTATCTCCTGTTATTTTTCCACCAAAAGAATATCCTATGGATACTGCTACATTCAAAGGCAGGATTCTAAATACCAAACAGTAGATGAATTGTCCATTTGAGCAACAGCTCCCTCTCTATATCTGCGCTGTGTGGAAGGCTGAGAGCATAAAGCTGCCATGAGTGCTCAGTGTATCTGAGCCAAACTTCAGACCCTGAGGACTTGGACTGATGTACAAAGAACACAGCGACTGTCCATTCTCTGTGGAGTGCTAGCCTCCAAGGCAGATGCTTGGGGTGGGAGTGGTTAGAGTGGGTGGGAGAAAGGACTCATAATCTTAGAAAACTGTTTGTATTTCACCCGCGGCATATCTAGACAGAGGATGCAGTTCCTTGCTTCCCATTTATTATATTAGCTTAAGAATCGACTGTGTGCAAAACAAGAGTGAAGTGCCAGTGAAAAGGGGGCCAGCTCATGAGGTCTTAACCGCTCTTGTTGTTACACTTGCTGACCGTGACTGAATGCAAAATGTCTGCGTTACAATTCTAGTCAGGAGCCCTGGGCACAACATCACGGTGCGTGAGTCCTTGCGCACGTGTGGAGAGCAAGGTTACTCTGAAAAAGAGATGTAATTTTTCCCATCCAGCGTAGCTCATTTATTTTGATAGCTGCAGGCACACAAAAGGGAGCAGGCGTAGCTGTTAGGTGCAGGTGTTCTTTGGAGTGTGCAGATTGGCAGGGTCTGGATGGTGAAAAACTTATAGACTTCCTCTCCAAATAGAATCTGGGAAATCATCCAACACGTCCCACTTTCCTGAGAGGAAGCAAGATGTAGGGACAGGAAGGCTCTGTCAATAAGGCACTGGAGCAAAGGCTTCTGTGATTGTTTTTGTGTCGTAAATATTCCGCAGCCACGCTCATGAGATTTTGATCCCAAACCATTGTAATTTGCTGACAGTCTTTAACAAAACTGAGAAGGAACTGGGTTTGGGGTCCTTTCTCGTGAAATCCTCCGTAAAACAACACCGGAGAGGAAATTTTATGACTGGAGCCACCATTGTCAAACCACGAACGCTAATTAAGATGTGGAAGACAGAACTTCCTCCCCATAATCTGCCCAGAAAGATGGTCACGTGGGCTTCTCGGGAGGGGTTTCCTGCTTGAGTGCATAGCCTCCATTTCTAAGATACTTCTGAGCTTCATTTCAGAAGAAATTCATCCCCCAGTTCAGGGGTCGTTTTCCCGGATTCCTCCCTGAGGCTTCCAACAGACTCTCAACTAACTCCCTTCCATCACTCCAGTGTTCTGGTGAGCACTGTTTTTCGTGTCTGACATTTACCCATTCTTTTCCTGATGACTCAGACTGACTTTAACAACTTGCCAATTCAACTCAGTCAGCCCCTCCTCTTCTTCCTCTGGTTGGGATGGCCCCAGACATCCCTTAGGTTATCTTTCCTCTTCAGCAGCAGCTGTTTCTAGGTGACAGCAGTGTGGAGCAAAGACAGCCATCCTGCTTCTTAAGCTTCTGCTACTAGGTTCTGTAGCCAAATCTGGAAGGCAGTCCACGATCAGAGATGGCTCTCAGAACCAGCATCCTTATGCCAGAGCTATCTTGACAAAAGTCCTAAATTAAAGCTGGGTCTGTGGCAAGTTTGTTTCATTTTAAGGGCAACAGACATGTGCCATTTGTCATCAGAAGGGACCCTTTGGATCTTAACAGAGCTACTGAAAATGGATGGATCGTGATGTCCACTGTGTTGGACAAAACTGTTTTCTTGTTTTGAGATGGGGGTCTGGCTATGTTGTTCAGGCTGGCATTGACCACCTGGGCACCAGCCATCCTCCTATCTCCGTCTCCAGGCATCAGAGACAACTACAAGTATGCACCACTGGGACCGGCTAGGTAAACTGTTGAAGGAACACATGCATAGAAACATGAAAGACAATTGACGGCAGGTTCTGGACCAGGCTCTTGCCTTGAGTAAGATAACGGTATAGGATGGGTTCATACTCAGATTTCTCCCAGATGTGCAGCTACTGATCTT